GAGAAACGCCGGGTCGGGGGGGGGGGGGGGGCGCACTAGTGTGCCCCCCCCCCAGCAGACCAGGGAGACCGTGGCGCGTCTGGGCGGTCCTGCCGCCCGCGTCCTCCAAGGCGAGAAAAGCCCCGTTCGTAAGTGCGGATCCGACATAACTCGGATCCGCGTAACCCGGGGACTGCCTGTATCTGGATCTAAGTGATTCCCCAAGGTCAGGCATGAAATCTGTGGCAGAGAAGGGACCTGAAACCAGGTTTCCCAAATCCTAGACTAGAGCCCGAACTAGGGATGTAAAGGATACCCAGTAACCCTCACCCTTAGCGATACCCGGTTAATTGGAGGCCTGGCTAGGCTGGAGCAGCCCCCTGCCTGCATCAGTAGGGAAGCCGCAGGCGGGGGCTTCTCCAGCTCGGCTGGGCCCACCATGTTGCACTGGGGTTGCTCCATAGTTAACCAGTTAAACCAGTTAACTAGTTAAAATCGGTTAGCTTTTTAAACGACAGTTTACACCCCTAGCCCAAACCACTGAACCATTCTTCCTCTCTGCTTCAGCTGTTTAGATGTAAGCTCTGCAAGGAAATGGACTGTCTGTCATTAGATGTGTGTGTAAACACTTAGGGCATGTCTACACTAGGAAATTATTTCAAAATAACGTATTATATAATAACTCCTGAAATAACTATTTCAAAATAAGCGTTATTCCTCAAGGAAGGCGGTACAGATTTTGAAATTACCAGCCCGTTATTTCGAAATCACGGGCTTGGTTGTGTGGACGCTCCACTTATTATTTCAAAATAAGAGTTTTTTTTTAACTCCCTATCATAGACCAGAGCTTAGAAAAATGAGGCTGGGCCTGATCTCAGATGGGTCCACTAAGCGTGATCACAATATGAATAAAATGTAATGGAGTTCTGGTTGCTTCCAGTGACTTGTCATCTGCCTGTGTCTAAATAGTCGAGTCACAAAGCCAGGAAGGTGAAACTGTGGCTTCAAAAGATTCCAGAGGCATTGAAAATGAACCTCGCAGTGATTTGCATAAGTCAATATTTTAAAATAATTAAAAGCTTGCGAAATCAAGCAAGGTCACTGCGAGTCGTCTTGGCCCCGTGTGTTGTTGCAGATGACGAATCAGGTGATTCGTGTGCCTTTACAGGCTGTCAGCATAGATGGTGAGGGGTTTACAAAATCTTTTCCCAGCGACTGGATTGCCTGAGAGTTGTATAAGGACACTGATACCTCCAGGATCTGTGTCCAAACTGTGGTCTGGGTTTGCACCTGCTCAGCCTCCCAGTTGAGAAGCAGTGGTGACTCCAAAGAGGTTTATTCATGTGAGGAGAGCAAAGCAGGTCTTGGCATTTGGTCAACAGGAGCCAAAACCTACCTGAAGGCAGTTCAGTTATTACTTGTACATGCACCAAGATCAAGACCCCGTATGATACAGGGCAAGAGACAGCTCCTACCCTCAGCAGACAAAACCAACACCTGGAGGGTATGGGAGAAGACTTTTGCCCACAGCCCACCCCTCAGCTCAGTGGTAGAAGTGTCAGTAGAACCCAGCTCTCCTGAGTCCTAAGCTTAGTGTGCCCTGTCCACTGGACCCCACGGCCTCTCTCATTGCATGGGAAATGAGTTTGATGGGTCTCAGTCCAGTTTCTGTGGGTTCAGGCGTCCCCATCACAGCTCTGGTGCTCTTGTGGACAGTTTCACCGAACAAGACAAAGGGGCGAGAGAAGAGGATGATCTCCCCAATTATGATAGTTTCAGGGCAGTTACATGGCCCAGTGGCAAGGAATTATGCTAGGTTGGCTGCCCTTGAAGAACCCACTAAATTCAATGCTAATAAACAAAACCAAAAAAACCCCACCCCACTCCATGGAGCTTTACGGGTCTGCGTCACTAAGGGTTGTCTAGACTACAGGGTTTTTTCGACAAAAGTGGACTTTTGTCGACAAAACTATACCTGCGTCTACACTACCGCCGAGTTCTGTTGACAGTAAGTCGACAGACGCAGCAGTTTTGTTGACGGCAGTAAACCTCATTCTACAAGGAGTAACGCCTTTTGTTGACAGAGTTCTGTGGACAAAAGGCGCTATTGCATCCACGCTGTGCTTTTTCATTTTAAAAAAGTGGCTTGCTTTGTCGACAGAGCTGGCTGTAGTCCAGACACTCTTTGTCGACAGAAGCTTTGTCGATAGTATCTGTCGACAAAGCCTGTAGTCTAGACGTACCCTAACATAGGGGAGGAATTAAAGTTCAGATTGTTAGTAGTAGTTTGATGCTGTTCCACGCTGGCTGTGGTGCTTCCCTTCTCCCCATAACATTTGAGCCCCTCTCATGAGTGCATGAACAGATGTGATGAACATCTGGTTCATAAAGACACTTGGGCCTGCATTCTCCTTTCAGTTACTCCAGCTATGCACCAGGAGTTACTTTGGTGGAGTTACTCCCGGTTTACGCAGTCACAAGAGGATAAACGAGCCTCAAGAGTCTTCCTTCAAGATTTAAGTACATTTAGCCCTGGTCTACACTAGGACTTTATTTCAAAGTAACCCCTCCAAAGTCAAATTTATAAGCAGAGCATCCACACTACCAAGCTCGATATTTCGGAATAACGGGCTGCAGAATTCAAAATCTGGACTCCTGCTTTTCATCAGGAGTAACGCTAATTCCAAAATAGTTTTTTCAAAATAATGGTAGTGTGGACGCATCAGTGTTGGTATTTCGAAATAACTACTCTGCAGAGTAATTCAAACTAATTACTCCCCATTGCTTCTTGGGGCTCTAAGTCCAAGGTAGCACGTCCACATTAATGAAACCTGCCTTGCGCTAATTTTGAGGCTTTTCCATAGTGTGGCCATGCTAGTTCAATTTTGTTAAATTGAGAGTTAAATCAAATTAATTAATTTCAAAATAGTTGCCTACTGTAGACATGGCCTTAGTGAGGATGGGACACTGGGTTTGAGTCCTGGATGCCTGGGTTCTATTCCTGGGCTGTGTGGCCTTTGTTAATTTCCTTTCCTTCAGTCTCGCTTTCAAGGGGAAATTATACTAATTCACCTTTTATAAAGCACTTTGAGCTTCTAACGTTACTTATTTACTGTATCTCAGCAGGCTGGGCCCTGTCTGTGAAACTGTGAATGGTGTTATTGCATTTTTACTTTCAGACTAGGACAGTTGCCAACCTTTGTTAATTAATTGCTGGGTTTACAAATTTGACTCCCTCACCCCCAGTCCCGCTTCAGGAGACTACTATAAATACGTCCCTCTTAAATTTGAAAACTGTGCTTCCTCCCCTCCCTTCCTTCTCTGCCAAATTGAGCTCTCCTTTGTAAAGATCAGCTGTTTATAGTATAACATTTTAATTTTCTGCTTTGCTTTTTGAATGCATCTTTTGCTTCTTACTGTAAATATTTTGATTTAAAAAAAACTGCTGTGGGGAAACTGAATGCGGCAGCTGCTTACTGTGCTTGGGAATTACAGATGTGGCGAGGCATCACGGGGCGTTTTGCATAGGAAAATGAATGTGTGGAGGGAAAGGAAATAATTTTGCCCTCTGGCTTGATGCTGTGAAAATAAACACAGTGTTTCATCTCAACTAGTTTGAGAGATTTCCTACTCTGGTTGTACATAGAGTCCCAAAGCTACTGTAGGGCAGAAAGGGTGTTGGAAAGTGAATGTTTCCACATGGAGTTGATCAGTGATCTTCTTTCTGACATAGTTGGAGAACACTCACTCTTTCAGGTAGCGGCTGCCCTCTCCTCTGAGGAGGTCTGATGGCAAGACTGGGTGACAGGGAGGCTGCAGGACTGGTGACGTTGACTGGAGCTCTTCAGGCAGACCTTGTACCCGTTTCCAGATCTCGTGGCAGGCTTTGTCCAGGCTGTCCTGAGGGGTGTTGTGGTGGATCCAGATGTGCCTGGGGAAAGGTCCTAAAGGAAAGGGGCTTTTGGAGCTGATTGTCGGACCTGGGAGCTCACTCCCGCCTGTGAGCATCTTTCAGTCTTTTCCCACCCAGGCACCAAAAGACAACTTTTTGAAAGGGGCGTTGTGGGTACAGAATGGAATGAAAAGCAACAAGCCATGGTAACTTGGTAACCATAGAATCCCTGGGTCCTGGCAACTGGTACGAAGGACAACAACCGGAAACAGTGGTAGGGATTCCAGCAGCACTGAAAGGAAGATGGGGAAGAGGGAGCCATGTGTGAGATCCTCCAAGTAAGGCAGAGGGCAGCCTCTAGGACCGGTGTCCATGGGGTCGCCACCCTGCCCCAACTCCATATATTCTCAGGTCCACGTATTAACTCCACCCTCCTCTTTCCTTCCTCTGTTCTTTGTATTTAATGTATCCTGTGGCAATGAGAGGGTTACACCCACGTTGTCTCCACTGAAAAAGGAGGTGAGTTCTCCTCTGCTCCGAGTCCTTTCTCTTATCTCATATCAGGTCCCCTCCTGATCCTTCTCACAGAAATAAACTGAAGCAGAGACCGCAGGATTTACTCTGGTGTGGGTCTGAGAGCCAGGGGCTCTGGCTGTCTTGTCTGGTTTACTTCTGTGTCTCTAAACTAAGGAGCATGAGCATAGCTAGCTAAGTCTCCATTTGTTCTGCAGATGGGCTCAAGGAACCAACTTTCAGAACTTGCCAAAGTTTGGAGGGGGGTCTAGATTGAGGATTTTGTTCAGGACACTATTTTGTTCTTAATGGTCCCTCTGAAGCATTGGACATCGGCTGCTGATGCAGGATACTGGACTAGGTAGCATGCTCTGGTACAACACGTACACCTCCGTCTTTTGCCAGCCCCGCCTTGGGAATGCCACCCAGTACAGTTATTTCTGTACTGCAGTTTGGAGCACCTGGATCCTGACAGAAGAACGGATTCTTAATAGTGACACAGCTCATGAAGAATCGTATTGCTTCTGCAGAAGAGGGCCATGAGCTTTTTCAGCGGAAGCTCCCAAGTCCTGTTCTTGCTGATATTTAAGGCCAGGAGGTGAGAGAATTATGAAACTATGTTGAACCTGAGGACAGGCTTATCAGCGACAGTTAAACCACATTTCTGTTGGGGAGGGCTGTGGAATGTGAATGAGAAGAAGGCAGCCAGCCCAGACTTCAGATGCACTGGTTATACCTGCAGAAATTCATTTGGCTGCTATGGTTCAAGTGCACCATGTGTCTGTGCAAAACAAAAGAACACGGGCAGGTAAAAGTGAAATTTTTACATGTACAAGAGCCTTTGCCCATCTGCAGGGGCAACACTTGTGCATAGATTTTTTTGTTTTGTTACTGCAGCTGTTGCACCTTTCTCTGAAATCTTAGCTCTGTGCATCTCCCGTTAGCTTAGAGTAAAAAGTGGACTTGTCTATCATGCATCTAAAAAGTCACGGTGACAGTAGTCTGTATAATCAGAGAGATTATTCTATGTACAAGCCTCTTGGCTAATACTGCATGGACATCTAATTGCTGCTCTTTTCACCCACAGCAGCTGTGGTTGGTCAACAAAGTAGATGTTGGGATTTATTTTATTCATCCTAAGTCTGTTCATATCCCTAGGGAGACTTGTTGATTGTGCTGCTTTTTGTTTGGGAAAAACACTCTTAAGATTCACCAGTCCAGATGAATTAAGACTCCTTGTTCCTAGCCACCTCTGACTATGTATGGAATGTCATTTAGTAGTTGAAGGGAGACTTAATGTCAGAATTCCTATGTGATGTTCTCAGATTTGGCACTAATCCCCTTTGTGCCCCGGGCAAGTTCTTTCTCCTTCCTGTCTCTCTGTTTCCCAATCTGTAAAATGGAGTTCATGCTTCTTACTACCAGGAAATCACTGTGAGAACTAACTAAGCCAGCAGCAGGCAAATACCAGCACGTGAGCCGGATCCAGTTTGCCAGGGTTAGCCCCTGGTGGGCTGCCGCTACTGTATTTACCTGCATCTCTGCAGGTATGGGTGCTTGCAGTTCCTATTGGCCGCGGATCGCCATTCCTGGCCAATGGGAGCTGCAGGAAGTGGTGTCCCAGATGGTGCTACTTCCTGCAGCATCCCATAGATGAGCTGCAAGCACCCATATCTATGGTGGCACAGGTAAATATAGCAGCAGCAGCCTGCCAGTGGCTAACCCTGATGAACTGCTGCCATCTTATTGCCCACACCTGGACTAAGGCCAGTTCTATGCTATGGACTTATATTGGTATAACTACATTGCTCAGGGGTATGAAAAAGCCATACCACTAAGCGATGTAGTTATACCCTCTAACACCCAGTGTAGATAGGGTCATGTCTCCCATCGACATAGCTACCACCTCTCAGGCCATGTCCACACTAGGAAATTCTTTCGAAATTACTAAATTTGACTTAAGAACTGCTGATTAAACAACTTTGACCTTGCGTATCCTCACTACAGGAAAGCATCAAAATTAGTCAGAGGCAGGCTCCATGAATATGGACGTACTACCTCGTACTCAGAGCCCAGGAAGTACTCTGGGGAGCTGTGGGAGGCCTCCCAGAGGCAAGTAAGTTCAAATTAGCGGCACTGAAGTGTCTACACTAATGTTATTTCGGACGTACAAGTTTGGGAATAGCATTATTCCTCATGAAAAGCAGGAGTACAGAGTTCAAATTCCATGGCCCCGTATTCCAGAATAACAGCCTTGGTAGTGTGGAAGCATTGCTTACTTATTTGAACGGGGGACGGGTCTGGGGATTTTGGACTAAGGTCCTAGTGTAGACCAGAGCTTGGGGAGGTGGATTAACTACCATGCTGGCAGAAGCTCTTCTGCTGGTATAGTAGCATCTTCATTAATGGGCTACAGCATTTCAGCTTCATCACTGCATGTGAAGACAAGACCTAATAGGTGTAAATCATGCCAAGTGACAGATGGCAGAACAAGGAGCAATGGTCTCAAGTTGTGGTGGAAGAGATCCAGGTTGGATATTAGGAAAAAACTATTTCCCTAGGAGGGTGGTGAAGCACTGGAATGGGTTACCTAGGGAAGTAGTGGAGTCTCCATCCCTAGAGGTGTTTAAGTCTTGGCTTGACAAAGCCCTGGCTGGGTTGATTTAGTTGGAGTTGGTCCTGCCTAGAGCAGGGGGCTGGACTTGATGACCTTCTGAGGTCTCTTCCAGTTCTATGGTTCTATGTTTCTATGACCCTTGGCTCCCAGACATTCAGAAATATTATGTTTGATTGAGTTCTTTGGGGGTGGAAGGCTTGCAGTGATTTATATTGCTTTGGCTCTGGTCGGGGAAATGATAGATAGGATATAATACAGGCTGAACCTCTCTAGTCCGGCACTCTCTGGTCTGGCAACATCCATGGTCCGGCATGACTTTAGTTAGCCGGCACTTGTCATTAGGGATGTGAAAGTTTAACCAGTGAACCGGTCAGCATCACCTTAAATTGGTGGCACTAACTGGTTCCGATTAACTGGTAACGAATGCGGGCTGGAGCAGCCCACCATGAACAGAGGCTGCTCTTGTCCAGAGCAGCCTCTGTCTACGGGGAGCCTGGGTGCCCCAAAGGTAGGGGCTGTTCTGATGGGAGCTGAGAACTGGGGGCCAGTGGTGGGGAAGGGGCTGAGGACTGGCAACAGCCCCAGAATGGGGCTGGGAATCAGCAGTCAGCCCCAGGGTGGGATTGGGGGGTGGGAATCCCGTGGGCTGGGCACTGCTCCAGCTCAGATCCCGCTTCAGTCAGTTAACGGGTTAAACGTTAGGTTAACCCAACATTTAAGCAGTTAACTGATTAATCAGGATTTTATATCCCTGCTTATCATGGGTATGGTCAACTTCCCTGCCATAAAGTTTGTTTACAGCCACCAGTCCTGGCTCTTGGTGTTCTGTGCTGTGATTTAGCTCCAATTTATCCCTAACAGTCTTCTAAGAGCCCAGGCCCCCCAATGTCTTCTACAGGCCCGGTGGTCTCGCTGCTAGACAGCATCACCCTCCCGTGGCCCAGTGCTGGGCAGGTCCCCAGGGTGCCGGACGAGAGAGGTTTAATCCGTAGGTGTCAGAATCTGGCCAGTTCTGAGCCTGAGCTTTGACTGTGGGTGGCAGTGTAGATCAAACATTCCTGGCTCCTGTTGGCTGCTTAGAAAGGCAAAAATCCCCTGTCCAGCTTAGTGTGGAGGTAATCAGGCAAGTTGATCAGTGGCTAGTGGAGGTTAACAGCAGCCTGCACTAGAACTGACACACATGCACTTTCAAAGAACCCTGCAAGTTTCTGCCAACTTGGCTGTCCTAGGCAGGCCTGTCCCCAGAGCTGGGCACACCTGGTAAAAGAGAGGGAGACCTTTCAACTCAGCGTGCTGCCAGGTGCTTTTTTTGTAAAGCAATTAATGGGGATGTGTGTGTGTGTGTGTGGGGGGGGGGGGGGGGAGTTATTTGCTGTGTGCTGAGCTTGTGTTTGTCTGGTTGGTTAGTTGGTTGTGGTGTCCCCCTCTGTGTCTGCAGCAGCCGGGTCCCCTCTTCACCGGCGAGCGCGTCACGGGGGGGTTCTTTGGCAGAACTAGCCCAGGGAAAGGGGCCGGCCGGGGTTGCGCGCTGGATTCCCCGCTCTCTGGTTGGAGCTGCGCCTTGGAACGGGAAGGGCTGTCTGAACAGGACGCTGCAGTGTAAACGGGCATAAAGCGACTCTTTCATCGGCCAGCCCTGGTGGCGGTGGCTCTTGGCAGCGGCTCCCGGGCTGGGCAGGGAGAGGAGGGGGGAGATGGGCCAGCCCTGGCTATAAACTGTTTCCTGGCTGTCGGATGAGCTCATTCAAGGCACATTCAAG